TGTAGGCTCTTGCCATTCTCCTTTGATATAACTGGTCATGACACACAGCTGCCAATCTCTTTTGGAGTAGTTCTTGCGAGGCAAAAATTACGTGCTCACAAGGTAGACAATAATATATTTATCAATAATGAAACAATTAACAAAAACGACCTCAAGAAGCATTGTTGTAAAGTGAGAAGTAGGGCAAGGTACTACAACAGTTTGTAGGAAGTGTTGGGGCAAGTGTCGGGTATGGGTTCCCGGAACCAGTAACTTCTATCTATCACAATTATTTTTCAATGCTAGCTATGACAAAGAATTTTGCAAAACTCCGTAAGAAATGCTATTTTTTTAAACCTTGAAAGTTTTTTAGGTGAAAATTGGAGAATTACATATTTTTTGATCTGTTAATCGAACCATATTATAAACCACTGGAATAACCCAGCAGCATACAACAATGACATTGTTTCTTGCTTGTACTATTAAATTTGAGACAATGACGCTACATTTTCTGCAGAAAATAATTTCTATCGAGTATTTCTTATGCCCAATGTGTTCTTTCACACTAATTTCGAAAACTCTTTTTTTTTGCGTTCTAAGATTGTGCGGTTGAGTTTATGTGGTTATGGCGTCGTCTTAAAAGAAGGGCCGTTTTGAGAAGTACATTTACGCCCTTAATTTGCTTTATTACCCACGTTATTATAGCCCATTTCTGTAAATTTATTTTGTCTAGGGCGGTGGCTGACACTACTTTGATTACTTTGCGTTCTTACTTGTCTCCCATGGCTAATAGGTAAATATCGGTGAGAACAAGAATATATAGACAAGATGTTCTGCATGTTGCCACCCTCAAAGTCTCTACCAAGAAACGACATCGTTGGAGGCTTTCTTTCTGTTTGCAACATTGACTCATGAATGAGAAATCTCAGTAGGTGGTTCTTTGGTCAGGTTGTTATTTTTGAGTTTCTTTCTTGGTGATCCTAATTGTTGTTTTATGTGTTTGATGTTGTTGTCCAGGTTATAACTTTTAGCTAATGGCCGTAGTTGAGTTACTTTAATAGGTTGGTTTGCCTGATTTAATAGGTGTGACCTTAGCCAATTGCTAAACTACTTATGAGCTAACTAAAATTGTAGTCTATAATTCAGGTTCTTCGTATTTTGTTGTTGAAATTGGTAGGTTGAATCCTCGATTTTATTCTAAGAAAAGTCTTTGCTATTTTTTAGTATTTTTAAATTTTGTATTTGTGTTCTTTATAGGTTCTAGTGCGTATGTTATCTGCCGTCTGAATCTAGAGGCTTTTTTAGGCAACTGGAATCACTTAGTCAAAATTCTGTTGATGGAGATGGTCAATTTCCCTGAAAAAAAGGGTACATGTGTCTTACATATATTGTGTTTTTGCATTGGGGCACCCGTGTTTTCTATTAGGAAAACTACAAAAATGCATTTTTTCTGAATAATATTTAATCTACTTGATTTAGAAAATGTTAGTTAATGTGTGTTTTTAATGTGATTTGTGATTCTAATATATCAATGGATATTACTCTATGGTATTATGTCAGTATGTTATGATTCTTTGGGGTTGGTTCCAGTTGTTGATAAGAGACTTTTATCTAACGTTAAATAGTTACTGGATTCTGATTATTAGTAGACATTTGGGGTCACATTGTGTCAAACGGTGTATGTATGTATATGTGTGTATACATAATATGCAATAACAGAATACCTATACAAACATTATAAATGACACTGCAACACAAATAGCTCTATATCTTGATGGTTAAGCGCCTACTATTCAGAGTTTAGTCTAGAGTTCAAACCTTGGTCATGAATTGCGCTTTTTTTAAAATTAAAAAAAATGGTCAAAGTAAAATTTTTAATTTCTGCCCAATGTAGGTTGTTTACAAACTAGCTCTTTTTGACTCTAGAGACTAGCTCTCAAAAATAGCCTCTAAAAAAATAACCTAGTGCACACCTCAGTCTTTTACCTGTCTGCTGAAACATACAGGTTGTGAGAGAGAGGCTTGAACCATAACTCCTTACCAAGTGAGGATAATACAAAGCAATCAGCTTACGATTCATTTCCATAATAAACTTCTTTTTCTTTTTTTATTTGCATAACTTAGATAATTAATTTGTTGATAGTTGATACTTGATACAACCTTAAACAAGATTATTCAAGCAAACTTAAATTGGAATATTATTTTTTTTAATCGGATGTCCTCGAGGGACAGCAAACTTAAAATGTATATAGCAATTTTGTTCATTTGTTCACTTCTTCGAATGTTGACATTACTTATAGAAAATCCTACATACTCCTTTGTAGATATTATACTCTGTGGTGTAGTATTAGGAGTGAATGATATAGTACGATTCCCCGTATGTATTGATTCTTTAAAGTTGGCTTTGGTTGTTGATCCAACGTTGAACAGTTAAACGTGTGCTTATAACTTAGTTTTAAGGTGAGAATGTGCTTAGAACTTATAGGATAAAAGTTTACAGAGTCGGTGGTTGATTTATGAGCTTATGGATACTGCTGCTTTTCCACTAATATTTTTTCCTTTATAAAGAGGTGTTAAACATAATAACAAAATGAAAGAGTTTTTTTTTGTTGTCTTATTGTGAATATGTTGCTGGATTTCGACTTCTCAAAAATATGTTCTTAGGTTCTGACATTGAGACGACAGAACTTCAGGTAAAGATTCGTGAGGAGTTAACTATGAAACTTAGTTTACATTCAGTTCCTCTGGTTTTTGTCTTGAAAATGATTGACAAAATCCAAGTTTGCATTATTTACATTTGGTAGTTTGCATTTTAACTGTGTTATTTAATTTGTAAATGGTAATGAATACAAGGATTCTTAAAATTCCTCATAGTTTTATTTAGTTGTTGGTTGCTGTGTGTTTCGTCTATTTGTCGTGTCCAGCTACTCATAATTGGAAACTGGCGACTAAGGGTGCCAGCTGAGCTACAAGCTTAGTTTCTTTTTTATTTTTTAATTAGGGGAATTTGCAGTACTTTATATCCACCATTAGATTGACCATTTTAGTTATTCATCAGTTTGCTTTAGAAAAGAAAGAATAGATTTGGCGTTCCCCGTAATATATGCTCCTACCATTTTTATGGCTTGCGACTTAGTTATGGGCATGTGTTTGGCAAACACCTGCATTGCTTCTTGTACATCTATTTGACCCGCCAACTTCGTGGAGTTTTTGAGGTTTGTAGCACTACTTTTTACGACATGGTGATTTAATAGAGCAATCAGAGAGGTAGTAACATTTTTCTTCGTAACTGCGATCCTTATAATAATTCATTTTATTCTTTTCATTGAACTTCAAAAATCAGTCTACTCTTGGATGATAACTTTAAGTAACAACTACAGAACTGAATATTGAAACAAAGATAATTTCCCGAGCATCTGTCTTTCATTTTTCCAGTGCAGAGCTTGATGTTTAGGGACATGCTCGAGTGTCGGCTTTGCTTTTGTAGGAAGCAAAAAAGTGTTTGAATTTTCCAACATGAATTTCTGTATCTAACCTTTAGTTATTTATGTTGAGGAAAACCTCTTGATTATTAGCTAAGTAAGGAGTTAGGAAAGAACCCAATGACATTTTTATATCCAAGAAGCTCTATCATCTAAAATATAACTGCTACAAAAGTATGTCTGAGAAAAAACTACCATATATGTTTTAATATATGCATTCATCTCAATTTAAAAAAATTCCTCCAACCGATGCACATTGATCTAAAATATTGATCTCTTATTCTAGAATTGTTGGATGGCTCTACAGTGACATTGATTTAACGCTGCTTTGACCTCATGGAAATGAACATTCTTTACGTATATTTTTGTTTCTGTTTTGGCCTCCCTCCTTTTGGTGTGGGAGACAGATTTATCACCAGTAGAAGCTTTTCCAGGTTTGATGGTAAACAGTATTACCATATTGAACTTGTGAATCACTGCTCTAGCAAGATGAATTCAGTAATAGTTGTTTAATCATTTGACATTTAGGACTATCTTGTTGCAAAAATTATTTTTATGTTACTTTTCTGGCAGTTAACTTTCCTAATGGGTGATTACGTCTTAAGTAAATAGTGTTCAATTAGTTTAATTTGGTTGAACAAGTTGTGTTTCACTATTTTGTGAGTGGTGTTTTGCATCAACATAAAAAGGGTAGGATGGAAGCATACCTCGCTGAAGGACGTTTAGTAGAAGGATTACACTAAATGTAATATCCAGGTCAAAAGTGTTACTTGACTCTCTTATGCCTAGCTCAGATAAATTACGTTCTCCCTCTTCTTCCCTGAGGTCTTTTTTAAATTAAAAAATATCAATATTTACTCTATGAAGGTCCATGTCTTATTAAAATTGGCGTGTAGTTTGTTTGAGTTGTAAAGTTTAAATCTTCTTTGGTTCTCTTCTATAGGAATTAGCTCTATGGTTTGTGCAATGTTAGATATAAGGGGGCTCTTAATAGTCTTGTCCATGAACCATGTATTTTTCTGTTTGCAGAAGACCAAGAGCACTAGTGGAGCAGTAGGAAATTCATTAAAAATGAAAAGTAAAAAAAAAACTGTATAACATGAAGGACAAGGAAAATTAAATGGAACCTTTGGGTCTATTGTCATGTATTACCCTATAAGGTTCAAGCCGTAAAGATGGATTTCTTTGATGGAAAGGAAGTGTACATTTACAAAGTGCTTATGATGATTGTTACTTCAAGTAATTTTTTGGCTTGTACATTTATATTTGCTACTCAGTAAAATATATTGGTCCGGTAACTAACGTAAATAGTTGCTTTTGAAAGATTCGACAATAAATCTTATCTCCTTTGTGGCTTGAATTTGTTTTCTCCCTTCTATGATCTGAGTGATTAGAAAACATCAAGTTTTATCCATAGTTTGATTGAAGAGCACGATGTAGGAGAGTAATAAAGAGAGTAAAAGCCTAGGATCAACCGAAAGTTGCCCTTAAGGAAGGGCTCATACATGCCAATCAATTTGAGTGCCCCAGATGAGATCAAAGCTTCTATCATATGAGGTACATATGATGAGAGCAGCAAAATAAATGCTCCAATAATTGACCTATGAAGATTATCTCACTTAAAAACATAGATCTAAACGATTAGTTGCTATGAGAAACTGGTAAGTTGCAATTAGTTTAGTATAGCCTTGTCATTCTCTTTTTACTTTTCTTAATATTCGTTCTTTTATTTAGAACAATTATTTTAATATAATTTTGGTATCCATCTGAGAAGTTCCAATATAGTCTATTCAATATCTTAAGTATAATTTTTGTTGCCAGAAAAAAACAGCAAATAGCACAAATAGAAGTGCACAAAATTGAAAAGACATTCGTCTTTATTCATATGTAAAAACATAGATACTACTTATTGGCAGAGGATTTTTCATAAGTGGTATCACTATTTCTAGTAAAAGGGCCGTAACAGTCAAAAAATATTTTGCAAAGCCAAGGGAGTTGAAACCCAAGACTTCTCACATAATACTTGAAGCTAACAACAACTAGACTACTGAGATGTTTTGTTGCAAGTGATGTCACTTTTAATAGTTTTATCTTGTATTTCTGTTTTACTTATTATTTTTATATATACAAATAGTAAAATATTTCGACAAAGCGGTCTCACCACCATGTGAATACGCCCCTGCTTATTGGTCAACATTTTGAATATACAGTTATTTTATTGAGACATCATACTTCATGTGGAAAAAAATTTAAATTTTAAGCCTTTTAGGTTATCTCTTCAACGCGCTAATAACCGTAGACTTGCACATGTATATTTCAAATAACAAATCATCAGATTGAGCACTTGAAATTGATGCATCACAACTCCAAAAATTAATCGTAGTATAGGTTACTCTCCGTGAAAAGTTCTTTACTTCTTTCATAAAATAATATTCCCTTCATTTCAAATTAGATGAGGTACTTTCCTTTTTAGTTTGTTCCAAAATATATGAAACATTTCTAAATTTGGAAATAATTCAACTTTAAACTCTTTATTTTACCCATTTTACCCTTAAAGAGAAGCTTTTATAACCATACAAATGTCATGGCTCCACAATGTTTTTACCCCTTAAGCTTTTAAGATCACAAGTTGTAAAAAAAAATTCTTTTTTTTTAAATTCTGTGTCAAGTCAAACTACTTCATCTAAATTAAAACGGACGGAGCATGTACCTTTTACTTATTAGGTTTGGGCGCTGGCTCAGCACGGGCCATGCCCCCCTAGTTTCTATTTTTATTTTTATTATATTATATAGACCAAAGAGGTCGACCAAGGGTAAAAGAGTAATTTAGATACTTCTATTAAAATAATCACTTTTATCGTTGGGTGTTTATTTCTTGTGGTTTCTAGGTTTGGCTCTAGAAGCATCCTTCTTCAATCTCTCTCATCCCCAAAATCAGATGCAAGACTACTCTTATTCCAACAGCAATTTCATATTATTCTTGTGCTTTTCTTCATCTTCGCACCTGGTGTTGTCGTTTCAGGTATGCTTTCTGTTAGTAATTTTTTGCCCAAATCTTCTTCTAATTCTCTTAGAATTTTCCAAATTCATGGCTGATGTTGTTATTTTTTTGCATCTCTTTTCAATGTTTTTCGGCCATTCATTTTCTTTTTGTTTCTCTTTTCGTCCTTAATCTGTTATTTTTGCATGATTTTTATTTTTTCTTCAGTCTTCCAAAGACTACCCTTTCAATACGTTCCATCTACTCGGATTGGGGTTATAATTAATTTCAGGTATGATTTTCTTATTTTTAGCCAAAATTTCTTCCATTTCTCTTATGTCTTCCCAGTTTTATGGCTGAAGTTAGTGACAAATGCCATTTTTTCTTTCGGTTCTCTTCGGTCTTCCCCATTTCTACTAATTCATATTCTTGGAAGTTAATATGAATTTCGAAATTGGTACTTAGTTGAATTTGTCATCAACTAAAACGATATCTTGATTTTAGCACATTTTAGAGACAGGATCTATGCATGTTATGTGTCAAGACAACAACTTAAATTAATTCCCGAACTTTTGAGTACAAATCTTCTTCTGCTACTTGAAATTATCGTACGGGTCCTCATTTTTTAGTTTTTTTATTCGGGTGTATTCTATGTTTTGGAAATTTATGCATTGCTACTGTGAAAGGATTACCTACAAAATGGCATCGTTGGAATTTGATTTCTGCTTCGTTGCTATTCCAGATTTCGTATAGGCTGCTTTTTTATGATGCCCCTCTTTTGGAACTCCGAGCTTAGGCCTTTAGATATATAGCAGAGTACACATTAAAACGGAGATGGAATGGATGTCGTTGTCAATTCGTTGTCTATTTCTTTATTTGCCGATCAAATGGACTGTTGTGACAGAATTATATTCTTGGGTAATGTACTTTTTTGAGTGTTTAATAAATTAATAAAAGGTGATAGTATGTGCTTTGTCGTATAGAGATGAAATGTTGTTGCATTCAATGTTTTCAGAAATGCCAAGTTGTATTGATTAAGTTTAACCGTTTATTACACCTAGCTTTGTAACTTCCTATCTGAACATGTTACTATAAATTCTTTTATTCATCATTACAGATAAACTGTTGTCAAAATAATGTTATTTGTTGTCTTTATTTTAGGAACTCTGAATTATAGTTAGAGGCACTGTCAACCTAAAAAGGTAAGTTTATGCTATTTTACTTAATGGAATCAATGCATAAACTATGACTTTACACAAAACTATTATTTTGTATGTGTCATTGGAATGAATGAAGTGTATTTTGTGTCACTGTTAAGAATTTATGCTCTTCGTATTAGTAATACCATAATATAATTTATGTCGTTTATGTTTGTTGTGTCATGCAGGCTTTGAACGAGACTCTACTTTTTATTGTCTCTATCTGGTGTCAGATTTAAATAAACAATAAACAATAAGCAAAACTTCCTTGTGAAAAGTTTGTAAACCATAATAGCTCTTTGAGCTTAGCATTATGAAGGTCAAAGTATATATGAATTCTGGGGTGAAATTAAGACAATGTGAGACATCTATATCATCGTCTTTTTGAACATTCTATTGTTAATAATTCAAGTGGTATTTTATCGTCCTTTTATTGTCATAAGAGACCCATCTTTCTCTCGTAAAAGAGGTTATAAAGTATCATTTCTTATTTTCAATATAGTCTATAGCACTACGTTTAATCGTGATTATGGGAACATTTGCCTAGGCTTCTACCTCATCTCAGTTGGTAATTAATTTAATTAGACAAATTTGTCAGATACATAAAGAGCTTGAAGTTACAATGCAATAATAGATACCATCGTTAATCTACTTGAGTACAACTTCCTATAATTGAAATTGGATAATCACATAAGAGAAACTACAGCCATGTACTAAATTTAGGGCAAACAACCTACTTTTTTTCTTGGCCATATTGACGTATTCCTCCGTCGCCTTTACGAGTATACAAGACATCGCTATTAGTAGCAGGCTCCGATAGAATATGTTTCTAGACTAAGAAGTGAAATGACAAGGACCGGATACTTTTAGCAGTTGGAATAAGTTCACTAAACAATTTTAAGTTTAGTTTTTGTTTGAATGGTAAACTATTTTTTTGCCCCTTTTCAGTTTACCGCACTTAAATTAAATCTTATCTTTTTGTCATTTACCTTGAGTGATTTTTAAGAACCTACTCAGTACTTAAATTTTTTCAAATATAGCCTTATCCCGTTTAAAGAGGTTTAAATAATACTCCCCTGAGATATCATATGATGTCGGAAATATTTGTTGTACTACCTTAATAGGAATTTTGATATGCTTTTGGGTTACTTTAATTATATTGGTCCACTTGGCAGTTTGAAACTTTAGATTGTGATTCCGAGTATGTCAGTCAAACAAAATAAATGCAAGAGTTGCATTTTGTTTTGCTGTGGAGTTTTTAAGGTGTCAGTTAGTGTGTAAAATACTGAAGGAAGATCATGATTCAACTTAATCATGACATATTAGTTTGTGAGAATGAGATTCTATTTAGTTTAAGATTTCACCATCCATTTACTATATAAATTCCCTTCTACGAAAAGATCTTCAGTATAAAAAATAAACTTTTATATCTGTTCTCTTAAATTATATATAAAGTAATCTAGCTGAAGTAGATATGGTTTGCTTAAAAACCTCCAACATGTATTTAAAGCTGTATATGATTTCGCTGGAAATTATAGAGCATTGTTTAGTGCGCTCAAAGCGGAAGCATGTTATAGTGAATAGTGAATAGTGAGACTTTTCATGATGGGATTTCTCTGTCGTCCAATTCAAACATCTCTTCTTCTTATTTTTATTTTTTTCTTTTCTCCGCAGGACTATCTTCTGATGAGAGGAAGAGTCTAAAAGGAGTTATCAACTTCCATGCGCTGCAACATACCTTTGCCAATGTCAATTTAGCATATGAATATTGTTGGAAGTGTCCAAATGTGCATGTGTTCTACATGTTTACATAGCAGATGTACTAACGTACTTTAAATGATTGCACTTCTCCTAATTTGCAATTTCAATGTGAGTTTTGTCATGGGAAATACCTTGCTTTTATATTCATAATGAGTTTTTTTATTTTAGAAATATTTGTCCTCAAGATAATCTCATCTAGCAGTGATATTATGGCAATTTATTTGATCACGTCAAAGTAAATTTCTTAATATTGCACGAAAATAATAGCGACAGTTGCTACCATTAAGTGAACATCTCTGGATCAATTTGATAAAATAAGACGTTTTCTCTAAGAAAAATAATAATAACTTGCTTTGCAAAATGCAATGTTGGTCCGTGCTTAGCATGGCTTGCATCATCTAGTATATATATATATATATGATTGTGCCCATTTGCCGCATCCTTCAGTTGCATATATTTTTTTCAGTTGACATACTGGCATCTTTGCCAAGACCATGTTTCCAGTGATTCTCCACTTTAATTCAACTGGAAACACGGAAAAATTTTGGCGATAAATTTGTTCAAAGTTATTGTCGTATTTTTTTTTTCTTTTTTGTAACTGAAGTTCCGTTTGTTATGGCTTAAAAAAGGTAATACACAACTGGAAGGAATCTTATTAAAAAGGAGTGGAGAGAGAATAGGAAAAAGATGTAACTAATCCCCTAATTTAAGGCACTAATAATGGATTGTATATAATTTGTAAGTAATCCTTGTTTAAGACAGGTAATATACAAATTAAGATAATTTTGATAAATAAGTTTCAAATATTGTATAAAGAAGGGGAAAAAATCCTCATTTCAAGTCCGAAACTGGTAAATAGTAATTTGTATTACCTCCTCCTCCTTCTTCTTAACAAAAGCTCCACACAAATTTTTGGCTCCTCCTTCTTCTTACCAAAAGCTCCACACAAATTTTTGGCTCCTTCTGTTTGAGCTCCGCCAAATGAACTCTTCACCTAAGTGATTTAAGGTACATCCAAACTTTTCCGTAATGCTATTACAATGTTTTCAGATTTTAATATCTTTTGCTATATTTACCTTCTTTTTTTTTTTGGGTAAGTAAATTTTTTTTTATTTCACGAACCAAGTATAATCTTTACAATTCTCATTCATTAGGATCTTGGACATCATGCCCCAAGTCCTATACTTTCCCGTTTCTCCTAATTACAGACAAAAAAAATAAAAGAAAACTCTGTAAAGCAGTCTAGTACTATCTCAAATTTTAGAATACTTTTTCATCTCCTGTAGCTTGCTATCTAGCTTCTTATATTTACTATCACAACTATGAATTTCCTGTGCTATTACCCATATGATGGCCTTATTTTGCCTAGCTTTCCCTTGAAAGATCCTCAAGTTCCTCTCATTCCATATGTGATAGACACATGCTGCCAAACATATTTTATACACATTTAAATTTGCAGATTTCCCCTTTGCATGCACCTCTGCCCATTGAACTTCTTCATTCCACCCTTTTGCTTTCCTTTGGATTCCTTGCCATTCCAATAAGATATCCCAGATTTGTGATGTTACTCCACACTTAAAGAACAAATGTTCTGCACTTTCTAATTCTCTTGCACACAATGGACACGATAGATCATCAATTTGACTCCATTTTGCCACTCTATCTCTTGTTAACAGCCTCCCGTGTAAGTTTAAGTATGAATAGCCATCTAGGAGCTCCATAGTTGTTACAGATTAATCTTCTCCATGAGCATTTTGGATAATCACCCTGGAACTTCTTGTACATCTTCTGTATGGTGAAGCCTTGCATCTGATTGAGTTCTTCTTCTTGTATCCCCACTTCTTCCAGATATTCAACAGCCTTTAGTATTTTCTGTACAATCCAAGACACCTGCATTGGTTTGTTCTTCCACATACTAGCTCTCCTTCCATAGTAACAATGTATCCATTTTACCCATAGTTTATCCTTCTTATTGCATATGTTCCACAGCAATTTGCACACAACTACTGTGTTCCACAATTGGATGTCCATAATGTTCATTCCCCTGCTACCTTTGGCATACAGATTCTATCCCAGGCAATAAGTGCCTTATGTGATACATCAACACCTCTTGTCCAGAGGAACCTTTTGCACACACTCTCAATCATTTGTATCAACTTCCTAGGTAATGTAAAAATCTGAGACCAGAAAGTTTGTATTGAGAAAAGAACACTTTTAATAAGTTGTAATCTCCCTGCATAAGACAAAAACTTTGAAGTCCAGCTAGTAATCCTGCCAATTATCTTGTCAATTAGTGGCTTGCACTGAGTTATTGTTAGCCTCTTTGTACTAAGAGGGACCCCTAGGTATCTTATAGGCAGCTCACCTTTTAAGAAACCTAGATGATCCAATATATCAAGCTGCAATGTCTGGTTCACTCCCCCAAAGTATACACTACTTTTCTCCACATTTGCTTTCAGCCCAAAAACCTTAGAGAACATTTGATAACTAGCATACAATGCTTTCATAAACTCCATGTCTCCTTTGCAAAACAAGAGCAGATCATCTGCAAAACTGAGTTGTATTATATTTAGCTTAGCACATTTTGGATGGAATTTAAAAGACTTGTTCCCCTTACGCCCCTTTAACATTCTTGTGAAGTATTTCATTACTAGCACAAACAAAAAAAGGGACATGGGATCTCCTTGTCTCAGTCCCTTCTTTGCTGGAAAAGGCTTCATAGGATACCATTTATAAGTATATAGTAGGATACTGTAGTTACACATTTCATGATCCATGTAATGAACTCTTGTGGAAAGCATAGTTGGTCCAGAATTTGCTCTAAGAAACACCACTCAACAGAGTCATATGCCTTCTTCATATCAATCTTCAAACAATATCTTGGAGTAATATTCTTCCTGCTATAACCTTTTACAATCTCATGGCTTAGAATGATGTTGTCTGAAATTATCCTCCCTGGTACAAAAACTGATTGGCTATCATCAACCAAGTAGTCCATTACCTGTTGAAGTCTGCTAGTTATGATTTTGGATATGACTTTATAGATGGTAGTACAACATGATATTGGCCTAAACTCTGAGATTCTTGATGGATTTTGCACTTTAAGAACTAAAGTCACTATAGTGCAGTTGATTGGTCTGTACATTTTTGAAGTTCTAAAGAAGTCCTGCACTGGCTCCACTACTTCATCTCCTATAATTTCCCATGTCTTTTTAAAGAATAGTGAATTATACCCATCACACCCTGGAGCCTTTGAGTCATCTATGCTTTTTAGTGCTTGGACAATCTAACCCCTCGTCACAAGTTCTATCAGTTTTACTTGTTGTGCTCTTGTCAGTATGCTTCCTCTTTTCATCACATCTGGTGTGATTGTTGGGATCTCCTCTGCAGTTGTTCCTAATAGTTTCTGATAGAACTAAATGATTTTCTGTTGTACTTCCTCCTGATTCTGAGTCTGCATTCCTGTTTGGGTGACTAGCTTTGTAATCTTCTTTTGAGCATTTATGTTCTTTATACTAGCATGAAAGAAAGCTAAATTTGAATCCCCTAGTCTCAACCATTGGATCCTGGACTTTTGTTTCAGTATATCCTCCTCAATTGTACTCTATTTTTCTAGCTTCTCTTTTAGATCCTTTTCATCATTCTTCAAACTCTCTGTATGGTTTAGGTCTTCCATTAGCATCTGCATCCTCTGTAACTCTCCCTTATGAGTGTGATCTTCTCATGAATTTTGCTA